AAATGCAGTGGAACGACTTTACTTTACCGGTCCCCAGAAAAACGCGCTAAAATATAGTGTCGCCGTAGGCGACTTCAATATATGAGATCGCATGAGCGATCGAGAAAAAAAAACCAAAAAAGGATGAGGTTTTAAGCCTTTTTGAGCCCAAAATCAAATTCTTTGGCTAAACGTTTAGTTTAAAACTTCGTTTTTAAACGAAGTTTTTAACCTCGTTCTCTGGAAAAAAGCAATAGATATTGTTTATTCAGCGAAAAGGAGACAAAAAATAAATGTCAACGAAGCGCGTGCGGCGCATGCTTGGTGCCGTTTCTTTCATACTTCATTCTTACATTTTTTCATGTAAACAAACCAACGAGATGTCGTTGAAGCTGAATTAAAATCTTGCAAAAAATACAGAATCAACTGAATTTCTTAATCTGAAAGAACACGACACTAACCCTAATCTCTCGGATGGTACATGTATGCAAGGACTAACCCAAATCTCCCGAGCGGATGCTAGATTAACCCATGTGCGAGGACTAGCACTAATCTCTCGGATGGATGCTAGACTAACCCTAATCAGTCGAAAACTTGTACAAGGACCAACCCTAATCTTTCAGACGGGTGCAATACTAACCCTAACCAGTCGAAAAATGTGCAAGACTAACCCTTATCAGTTGAGTGACGTAAATCTTACGTCATAGTGCAATGAGCGCGCGGATCTTGCGGATCTGGGGACCGGTAAAGTAAAGTCTACCCAATGCAGCTAACATACGACCTCATGTGACGTCACAATCTAGACGTTCCAAATGTCTCGTGCGGTTTGAAGAGGCGGATCTTAAAATTAAGTGAACAATGCGCTCGCCCCAACGGTCGCATCGTCAACATATCATTCGAGCTTATAATCATGATAATTTAAAAAAAAAAAATTCAACTGATGTGAATCTGGCTAGTAACAGATGGTACATTGAATGTCGATGATGCTATTAAGATATCAAATTCAAATACAACCAAGACTAAGTATGCAAGGTTTCTCTGTTTGGTGAATGTTTACTCTGTTGTTTGTTTACTTAAATTACTTACGTGAAAACCATAAGGACATCGTAATATTGTATTCGCGGTGGCATCGCTTTGGCAGTTGTTGCATGAAACCTAACAGCATCAATCTGTATATTTCTTGCCTAAATATAACGTATAAGAGTGTTTTTCCCCCTTGCAAATGTTTCGTTGCGTCCCTCTCTACCAACATGGTGTCGCAAATCGGCGAGGGTATGCCGTAAATTCTCGGGGCCGGAGGAACATGCAAAAAGCCAAAATTTAGAAAATTCATGCAATATTGATTTAATTTAAATTTATTTCACTGTGAAATCGGTATTTACAATCCTTTAAAATAGTTTTATAGCAAAATCATACGTTTTAAGTATGATCACAACATTGACCCATCTTCAGCACTTCGAGTTGCGCGGTAGGTTCAACATCGTCAGGTTCACATATCCTTAATTATTCATTTGACGGTTGGGGAACTATATTTTCTTTGATTGTCAGATTTTAACGAAGTCTTGGATGCCTTTATTTGCAGGCAAATGCATGAACTATCATGCTTATGGAAAAAAAAAATAGTTGACCACTCATAGATTTATTTACATCATTTATGAAGCTACAAAGCAGGGAACAGATGTGTTCCTCGGGACATTTTAGTTTTAAATTTGGCTTCACATTTCAACAATGTACAAGCGATACTAAAATGATTGGGGAAAACTTTAAATGGGTGATAAGCTATGTAAGCAAGAAAAAATCAATACATTTATTTTCTTTTGGTTATTGACCTGGTGCGGAAGAATAGGCCTATCATGTTTGTGTATTTTGTGACAGATATGCGAGTTGAAATTAAAGAAGTTAAATCTTCTGTCCAAATATAATTGTCAGGTGTTTTCGATCTTCATTTGGACAATTCTTTTTCGTTGCCTTTATAAGTAAACGTTCACAATTTAAACTAACACGTAGATTTTTTGCTGCTATAAGGTGAAATTATTTTTCAATTTTAACTACCGGTATTTATTCATAGTTTTCTCTGTATGTTTTGTTACATTCTTTTGGATTAAAGTTATGTAAGACTTTGTTCTTTATTTTCTTTCTATATATCTTTTTATTATCTTTTGGACGGCCTTCATATCAGACAGCGTAAAGATATGATTTACTTAAAGCTATCGTGCAAAGTCATAAACCTTTTATATGCAACAAGCAAAGTGGTGTCCGCCATATAACTCTACTCTGCGATAGTTACAATTTCAAATATATGTAATCAATCGCGGTCACTGGCCATTGCACACGTTTCCAGAAGGCTGAGTGTGCACACTAAATCCTAAATATGTCAAACTTGTACTGTCTTTCGCTAAATTTTAGAAACTAAATACAATATGATGGAAAAAATTAATGAAAATAAATTATATTTCACAAAGTAAGTGCATAAAATAAATTAGGAAAAAGTAAGATATCACTCAAATATTGCATGAAAGTATAAGATTTCCGCTAAAACCTATGCTTTAATAACCCCGTGACGCTTATTTTGCAATAATTTCAAATCTACATATATATTATTTAAATTTTATAACGTGTTTTGAAATTTAAAAAAATTATATCATGATGATTTTCCTTTAATATTCATACATAAGCATTCACATGTGAGTCAATTTTATAGGGACCCCCGTCTTAATGCGCCCATGGATACGTAAAACCCGGGGGAGGAGTGTCATGGGGATCATGTTCCACCAAAAATAATTTTGCGAGTATATATACAATGTATACGATGGCCGATGTCAGTCTGTCTAAAATAAAATTACACGGCCTATAATTTTGTCTTTGTACATGTACATTTCTTGAAATTGGTACATGTGCAAAAATATAAAAGGTTACAATTTCGCGAAAAGACAAAATGTACGTGTACAATTTTTTAAAATTGTACATGTACAGACAAAAAAAATCTATAGTAGTAGGTAATTTAAAAGATATCGTCGCTATAATTATTGTACATATACAATTCTTATATTTAGCACTTGACTTCTGATACCTCAAAGAATAAATCACGTAATAATCTACTTGGACCGGAACTTCAAAAAAGTGGCTCCCATCATCCAAGTACCTCCGATCACTCGACTCTACACTAATTAAGTGTTTCGGCGGTGTGATACGAGGTGTTTTAATATAAATTGATTTTATAATGAAGAAATAATTTTCTTTCTTTTGCTGCAAATCCGCCTCATCAGGAGTTTATTTGTATTATGCATTATGCATCTACATATAAGAAATAAAATTATTTAAATATTGAGGAGGTGAGAATATCAACCAAGTTTTTATTGCGTTTATATGACACAATAGGTACATGTAATTTGCGGTGTAATGATTTGCTTCCTTTGTGCGAAACAGATAAAAGTTCAGAAACATACTTTACTTGATATTTCCCACGTGTCCTTTACGAAGGGACAATTATTTTTTATTTCTTGCGTCCAGGTTATCGAAAGTCAAGTAGAAGAATGCTAATTAAAATTTTAAATAAAAGAATTGTACGTGTACAATAATTATAGTGACAAAATCTTTTATATACTGCTATAGTTTTTTTTTCTGTACATGTACATCTTTTAAGAATTGTACATGTACATTTTGTCTTTTCGCGAAATTGTAACTTTTTATATTTTTGTACATGTACAAATTTCAAGAAATGTACCAAAAGACAAAATTATAGCCGTGTAATTTTATTTTAGACAGGCTGATATCGGCCATCGCAAAATGTATTATACAAAAGGACATAAAAATACTTATTTACAGATTTGTGAAACTTTTTCTTTCTTTTTTCCTTTTTGTCTCTCTTTCTTTCAAAGAATTTCTGTTGCATCTAAACTGAATTTACTTCCTTCATTTCTGTAGAATTTTTTAAAATTAAAATTCATTTGGATCAAATTTTGCGAATACTTTCCAATGCAGTATCTATTTTGAGAAGACAAGATATGCAATGGTAACATACACTGGTAAAACAATGGTAAAAGAAAGATAATTCTCTCGACTTCCCTTCCGCGACCTTGGAAAATTTACATTGTCATAAATCATATATATCCAGGCTTAAATAAATTATCTATACTTACTCAGGTGTTTTATGTAAATAAAACTATTTGACAAAGAAAATTAATTTAGGAAGAGTGCAAAGTTATATATTTAGGGTGTACCTAATAATTTATCATCTTTCACCTGTAGGCCTTTTCACTACGGTTTGCATATTTCAAAAAACAAATGATCTAGCAATATATGGATAGCAAATATAATTTGTTTTCTGTTAATAGTATTTCTGCAACAGCTTCTTGGCGGAAGTAAAACAAAGCTATTGTAACATCTGAAAATAAATCGAAAAGACTCAAGTATAAATACAAGCTGGTAAAAATATCAGCATGGACGGGTTTGGTACTCACAGGTTCTTAAAGGTAAGACTTTTCAGACCCCCCCCCCCGTTCTCCCAACCAACAGTAAATATTATTATTCGTCGACACTTGCAAATCTTACCCTTTAAATTTAATTAAACGTATGTAATTGCTGATTTTTGTATCCTATAATTATTCTAAGATTATATTGTATTTTTTTTAAACATGTGAACACAAATGTTTATTAATGCAATAAAATATGTTCAAATGAACATAGACATAAGGTCTTCGAATGACGTGAAGGAGAAGATTGATCCCCAACTCTAACAAGGGATAGAAATATGTATTTCATGTCCATTCACAATTTTTGAAATCATCCAACACATCTCCGCATGATCATTTTTTAAACAAATTTCATATCATTTAAAGAAAAAAAACAAGCATAGATATAATACTACGAAATTTTTATGCTTGTAAGAGTAATAGTACAATAATATGACGGAAAAAGTGAACGTCATGCAAAATAAACAATTATTGGTAAATTCATTTTTCAATTGCACGGTTATTTTATTTTGCTTAATTATATGTCACATAATCTTTTTTGTGTTTCAGATTTATGGTACTACTGATCCCTGGCCTGTAAAACATGCTGATTGTCCGCTTGTCTCTGCCTTTGTTCCTGTTCTTTCTGATCACTGATCTTCAAGCTGACGTAGGAGATGACGTCAAAGAGGCATCAGATGCTGTAAAAACAGGAATCGAAGCTACCAATGCCATTACAGAAATTGTAACTGGCCTGAAGGTGCTTGCTAAATTCACTACAATAATGGGTAAGGTCGCTCCTTTTCTGGCAGCCATTGGACCACTCATGGACATAATAACCTTGTTCCTTCCAAAACAAGAGGATCCAACCCTTAAATTCCTGAAAGAGCAATTTTCGAGGGTGGATTCTAATTTCAGAAATGTGGAACGACTGTTTGGAGAAGTTACAAATCTAATCAAATCAAAAGCTCTCAAGGCACAGTTTTCAGAAATTGAACAAAATGTCAACGCTTTGTCGTATCGGCTTCACATGGTAATGAAAGCCCCGAAAGATGCTGTAGAAGGCCAGAAAGCTCGATTCATCAATTCCTTCAAAACCAGTTATCTTAGCGCAGCTAAAAAGATATATAATGGCATCATGACCAAACAATCGTTTACAGACAATATTCCAATGGCAGCGATGGAATACACAAATAATGATCGCAAGAAGATGCAGAAGGTCATGGCTGGATGCGTCGGGCTTCTCATGACAGCTGTGAAGGTCAACTTAGCTTACCTGAAGCTGACGAATAGAACAGCAAGCTATAAAATGGAGCAAAAGGAATGGGAGACCAACATCAAGAAGGTTCTACAGAAAGTAAAAGAAGTGGATAAACAAGTCACTAGTAAATGGGAAGATCAGAAATTCCAAGATATGAAAGACCTTTCTGCACAGTACAAAGAAGATAATCACGAGCAATTTGCGAAACGGTTGTACAAGTTTTACTCTGAGAAATATTACTGGAGAGATTGGGTTGTCATCGTCTACAACAAAATGGCCGAGTCATGGACTGGGAAAAATGGACATACTTTTAAACTTTGCGGAGGGGACAAATACTTGGAGAAAGACAACAGAAATATTTTAACATCAAGTGTACCGAAGGAAAAAAACAAAATTGACAAAAGCTTTTATCAGGGGAAATTAGGTTCAGTTACAACGGAGACAGTAGTTTTAATTCACTACGCCTGGTCAGCGAGCTCTGTTTTGGATCAGATAAAGAAGTTTAGTCGCGCTGATGTTTGCATGCAAGCCGTTATATCTGATCGAGAGAGTGCGCGTGTTGCATCCGCCTCTGGTCGTTTAGCCTCCAAATGGAAGTACTTTTATAACATGTACATCTTCGGATAAGAAGTTGCATTTTGATATTATTTAAATAAAGCATAGCATGATTAAAAAAGGTTTTTATAGCGTTATATGTGCATTATCTTTATTTTTCAGTGAATAGAATGATAATTCTTCGAGGTTTTAATAGAATCAAGATCCATCGTGTATTTTTGGAAATTACAATTTCTACATTAAATTATTTTTACTGATTCTTCTTATGCCATTTATAATTTCGTCGTCTGGATTTTCTTCCAGGAAGCACTGTCACTAAATATTTTCTATATCTGTATCTTTCTTTATCTTATTTTCTTTACACTGCCACTTCTTCGACCGAGTTTCTTTTCTTTATCTTGTTTTCTTTAAAGATTGAACGGACGTTAGAATCTATGTAGATATTGTTTATAATTTCGTCTGGATTTTCTTCCAATAAGCATGGACACTAAAATTTAAGATATTATATATATATATATATATATATATATATATATATATATATATATATATATATATATATATATATATATATATATATATACACATATATATATTCCCTTTGAACATCCTTTTTTTCTTCATCTTATTTTCTTTAAACTGCCTTTTCGATATCCTTTTCTTTATCTTGTTTTCCTTCAAGATTGAACTGACGTTAGAACCTATGTAGACATTGTTTACGACTTTTGTTTTTGCATATTTTTAATTCTGTTAATTTTTTTCCTTATCTTGTTTTTCTTTAAACAACATTTCTTCAGCAAAATTCCATTTCCCTTTCTTAGTTTCCGGATGCAACGCATTAAAAAAATTACAGATTTTACAATTTATATAAAAATATGTTTCTATTAAAGCAATATTGCTTGATTCTAATGTTCATACATTTTCCTTTATGTTCATTTTCTGCCAGTCATCATTTTAATTTTTTTGATACGACATGTATAAAAAAGATTCCTGGGCGAAGAACAGTCAAACTTTGGTAGAGGATATCAAAATGCCACAAAATTTTGTCATTTTGAGAAATTTGTGAATCCATTTTGGTCCACAATATAAAACCTGTGACATTTTGATAACTAACACTTCTTTCACTAGTACCGTTCACGGTAGCTCAGTCGGTAGAGCGCTCGCTCCGTGATCGGGAGGTCGTGAGTTCAAATCTCAGCCGCGACTGACATAAGTCGATAAAAAATGGGTAGCAGCTGTTCCTTCGCCATGCGCTCGGCACTTTGAAGTGAACCTTCGGATAAGACCTTGAAAACCGAGGCCTCGTGTCACGACAGGCGTTGGTACGATAAAGATCTCTCACTGCTCAATGGCCCTGAGTGCCGAGTAAAGGTCAAAATTTGAAGCCCTTCACCCGTTCACCGGTATATGGTGAAAAACTCTCCAAAGGGACGTAAAACAATAATCAAACAATCCTTCACTAGTAGTCTTACTGGACAGAGCTTCTATACCAAAACTTGGGAAAATCTGAACTGCAAATCTTTGAATGTTGTCTACGGAATAGAATGTAATCTTTGTGGACTTATTTATGTTGTAGAAACCAAAGGTTCACATCGTATAATAATTTCGGGTCACAGATTTCAAATAAACAACTGGGGCCAGCAGCTTCTCTACAAGCACTTTAATTTACCTGATCATTCAATTTTGTCATTGAAAGTTAGAATTCTATAAAAGATTTACCATCATACAAACAGTGCATCACTGAGTACACCTTTTGGTAGACAACGAGAAGAAACTAGGGACGGCCTTTCCCTATGGATGCAATGACAATGTCGATAGTGTTAAGAATCTTTCCAGTCGACAGTGTAACAATATCAATGTGATGGGACTTTACAACCATACACAGAGACGTAAGCGTAGTCATGGGCATCGGCCTTATAATAAACGTTTAAGGAGGTTGGATCCTGCCATCAAAAGTAATGAGCATTTTTTATCAAGTATATTTTTAGAATTTAGACACATAGCTTATTTAAAAATCAAAACAAAAAACGGAGGTCAATGCGCTTCTTTTGGTGCTACAGAGCATTTAGTTTGACCTTTTTGCACTCTAAATACGTCTTACATATAAATCAATTTTAAAAGTTTTTCCTCCAATATTTTTTATTCAAATAAAATATGGGAACAAACACAGTCTTATGTCATCTTGAATAGACACATTAAAATTTGTGACAATGAAAAAAATTTTCAAATTACTCCGCATGTTCAATAATTTGACCTTTTTGCACTCAGAAAATTTCATTTTTCTGGCATTAAAAATTTAACAAGCAAAAATGTCATTTGAAAGTAATGACATTTTACTGAATTTAAGAAGAATAGTTTAAAGTATCTTATATATTCAGAAAAGAAAATTAAAAGTGGTGGTCTATGATGTTAATTTTTAGATATTTCTAAAATAGTGCTAATTTTAAGCTGAAAAAAGGGATATTTTTTTTCTTGACTTTCACAATATATTTGCTATATTTATCAAATATGATGATAGAATTCATGACAGTTCCTCACTTTATTCTTTTGGTATGGAATTTAATCATGGAGTTTTAACTGAATATAGTTTAATTGGCATTGTAGAATCCAAAATTATTGTAAGAATTAAAACTTTATGCAGAATGTTTGAAATATAGGTTAAGATATAAATCTGCTCAAAAGCTCAGGAGCGAACGTCGTTAAGACACGATGTCTCTTTTGATTCGTTACTACATTCACATTATATGTTTGTTATGCTTTACGCTAGTAGTAAGTTTGAAGAAAGATTCTGAGGGTAATACCAGTATCTGTAATTCCAAGAGTTTAATTTTTGATAATTCTGAATGTACAGTTTTAAATAATTATATAAAATTAAATTAATAAACTTATTTTCATAGTGAAATGCATTTCATAACATTATTTGAGGGATTAGGTTCTCATTCTGTTCGATGTTAAGTCAGGATCCTTAATAAACTTATCATGAAATATGACACGATCCTCCTCGCCATTATTCACTCTGAAGTAATTAATGTACAGCTACAGTCTGTAGAGGAAAATACGGTACAAAGATTTAATATTCTCTACTTTGGATGATTCTGCGAATCAAATGTACATAAAAAATATAATAAGAAAATTAATTTGTGGATCGTTATTCCTAACTGACGTAAAAGTCCTGATACATATCAAGATTTAGATAAAATGAAAACGGATATTACTGTATTATATAACCAAATCTATATTGATGTAGAAGTTATCTTTCTTCGTATGTATGGAATGTTTAGTTTCAGTCTTCATACCCTGTCCTATATGTACACTTTGTGTACAGGTATAAATAAATAAATCCATCGTCTTAATTATACTACTTATCTACAGATAAAAGATATATCTTTATTGTCTTAGTAGAGATTCGCCCATCCTGTAAACAGATGATTTGCCTTATTAAGGTACAAAACACCCATGAAATCGGTTTTTAACTCATTTCTTGTAAGTACGCTAGAAAACTAGAAAAAAATAATAATATCACTATAATGTCATTAATTAATTATCTTTGTAAGAAAAATAATTAAGTTGTGATATGTTTTTCGCCATATTTTGTAAAAAAAAAAAAAAAAAAAAAAAAAAATAAGAGAATCCTATATACTGGTCATTCGAGAGCCTACATTTTAGAATGTGTTTATGCCATCTACATGCAATATGACAGTCTGTAATTGATTGATTGATTGATTGTATGTTGTTCAACGTCCCTCTCGAGAATTTTTCACTCATATGGAGACGCCCAATCTGTTATTAAATGGAAAATAACTTTTGATCCATTTTTAGTAGAGACCTGGTATTTGGACATATTTATGAGTCTCCATTCTTTATATACAATAAAGATCAAGGTCATATTTAGAGGTCAAAGGTCAAATATCGTGACGTCATCTACTGATTGTTTTTAATTTTTTGCATTGAATATTTTTTAAATCGCCAAAATATCTTAAATTTCCGGTTCAATGTTCCTCATTTTGATACATTTTAATCTGGAATTTATTTTAATCATTCTGTTGATTTTTTGTAAAAATTAAATCATACATTTTCTCTGAAGGGAAAATAAAGTGTAGCATACATGAGAATTTTCAATTCCTGGGTTATGTATGTTTTATTTTTTATCACATTTTACTCAAATATACCAGTATCAATATAATATGCTGAAAATTAGTTACAAAAAGGTTGTATTTATAAAAAGCATCATTCAAATTTGCAAAAGATCGATCGGTAATTTATTACAAATCTCTTTTCTGCTTGAACTTTCAGTAAGGCATGACAATCTCGGCGATACATAATTAGCGTCTCTCAAATACTGACCTAGATTCTCACTGGTTAAGAAATTAATAGTATTAGCAATTTTAGATTGTTGTTAACAAACAATGAGATGACATAAGCCACACCTCTTTACTGTAAGAAACGATTTAATTTGTTCCTTGCGTCACTCGTTGACGTCTTACCCATTTTTATCCCATGTGTATGAAAAGCTGTGTATATTTCAGTATTGATGAGCTAATCGTGCAACCAATGAGAATCTAGGTCACTATTTGAGAGACGCTAATTATGTATAGCCGTGAATGTAACGCCTTACTGAAAGTTCAAGCAGAAAAGATATTTGTACTAAAAAAATGCATATTCTAAAGTGCAATGTTCGATTTTTCAATATTCTTACAGGGGGATGGTAGGTCCTATTTTTTAAGCTATGTGAGCAAAAATTGTGCTGTTAAATTTCTTTCAAATTACATAAAAAGAGAGATTTTGTATCCTAGAACAAAATGTCAAATTTTCAACAACACAAATTGAATTTGAGGGAAAATTTGCCTTATCTATTGTGTACTACCTTAAATTCTTGCGGTGGCCTTCATTTCAACAATTAGATGTTTTATCATTTAACAGACTTAAAATTCCATTCGTATGTCAACTCGATCTAACCCAGTAAACGCGAGTTTAAAGACACCACAGAATCTGCAACATCTTTGTTTTACTTGAATATTTTACTGACTATAACAATGAATGGCAACTATTTACTAAACTATATGACAAAGTTTTCCATCCCCAACTTTCTCTATTTATGTAAAGGTGCCACGGTTGGTGTAA